ATTAGTATTGTTGGTGTGCTTGTGTGGTTTGGAAAGTCTATATAGCCAGGGGCATATTTGGGTGTTTTTGAAGTTACATTAGATTGAATAGAAGTGCATTCTTTACATGCCTCTCCATCAACACCTCGTGGAGGAAGGACACAGCACCAGGTAGTCTGTGTAATGTGTTCATTCATGGGTATTGCCATTAACTACAACCTGACAAGCTTGTCTTGTCCGGAGGGTCTATTCACAATGTGTCATACTATATACACAGTGTACAAAATGCCCTAGACTGACCAGGTGAATCCAGGTGAAAGCTATGATCCCTTATTGATATAACTTGTTTAATCCATTTCAATCAGTGTTGATGAAGGGGAGGATACCGGTTAAAGAAGGATTTTTAAGCCTTAAGACAATTGAGACATTTTGAGGATTGTGTATGTGTGCCATTCAGAGGGTGACGTGCCTTTGAACGAGGTATGATAGTAGATGCCAGACACACCGGTTTGAGTGTGTCAAGAATGGTCCAACACCCAAAGGCCATCCAGCCAACTTGACACACCTGTGTGAAGCATTGGAGTCAACATGGGCCCGTATCCCTGTGGAATTCTTTCGACACCTTGTAGAGTCCATGCCCCGACGAATTGAGGCTGTTCTAAGGGCAAAAGGAGGTGCAACTCAATATTAGGAAGGTGTTCCTTACAATGTGTCTATACATCATCCTTTGTGATGTGTATGTACACATCCATTACCATTAATTGTGGTCCTCTGAAGCTCTGTTGGTAGACCATGATACTGGGTTTGATTCACGGGGCCACCCATATGTAAAATGCATGCGCGCATGACTAAGTCGCTTTGGATAAAAGCGTCTGCTAAATGGCATAGATTATAGTATTATTATATATTAATTAGAAATGTGAAATAAGATGCAAAGTCAACAAGTGAATATAAAAAAAAAGCATTTTTATTTCTAGAACTAACAGAGTACAATTCAGAGCCCACCCAGAGCAACACTGTGGTTCTCTACAGCACTGGTAACTATGTCATCATGTAACCATGGTGACTGACTACACATCCACCATCACCACACATCCATCTGTACACATGCTGACTCACACACACACACATAGATACACACCACACCCATACAACGTGGTGACGGCACTCCTTAGACCCTGTGGAATGATAAGCGTTTTTTTTTTACAGCATTGCACAAAACATAAAGACAGACAGCAGGGGGAAAAGGCTGCAGAATCAGAGGTGGCACCACAGGTTCAAAAGTGGTGTGGCACTTTTTCCTAATCTCATGACCTGGTCAGATAAAACTCTGGGTCCTATTCATAGGCTATGGCAGGGTTCAACATTATCTCACTTGCCCGATCAGGCCAGTTGGCCAAAAATCAACTGTCCCGAACAGAATAAATGCATTGGGGTCATGCAGAGCCTATATGTTGGCATGCTTTCTCACTATATGCAGCTATTAATAGGCTATTGGTTATTATATGTATTAAACATCTGTTTAATATTATTAAACATGGAGAATATTTTTTTTAAATCTCAAAATAGGACGCTTCCCCTTTAAGACAATTGCGTTCCAAAATAGATTTTATAAACCAGGTGGTTCGAGCCCTGAATGCTGATTGGCTGACAAAACATTTATTTTTACTGCTCTAATTATGTTGGTAACCAGTTTATAATAGCAATAAGGCACCTCGGAGGATTGTGGTATATTGCCAATATATCACAGCTAAGGGCTGTATCCAGGCACTTTGCGTTGTGCATAAGAACAGCCCTTACCCGTGGTATATTGGCAATATACCACACCCCCTCTGGCCTTATTCCTTAATCAACCTGGCTAGTACAGTAAGCTAGCCAAGACGAATGCTAAAAAGCATATTTTTGTAGCTTTCTTTTTGCAGACTTTCACCAATAGCCAGCATATTGCTAGTATGTTCACTTGAAGGTTTATCTTTGTAAATCACTTTCCCTAAAATAAATAAGCTCAGCGAGTAGATTTATAGTCACTTATTTTTGCTCAGGAAAACGGTTTTCAATGGTAGACTGTGACAGAGCAGGTAAATGTTGAACTGGAATGCAAGTAACTGGCCCGTAGGTGCTGCTGCTTTGAAAGTGGTAATAGTACTGGGGCAAATGCTGTCTCACCACAGGTTTTGAGGTGGCTCTGTGCAGTATAATAAGCATTGTTCTAGGGCAAGTCTTCATTGTCAGCCTCAGATGATGTTGGTTAAGACTGGATAATCAGAGAACTGATTCATGGCCTACGATAGGGGGTGTATCATTTCAAGACAGACAGTGAGGTTATGAAACCAAATCTTCAGAGAAAGGAGATTCATTGTTAAAGCTAGAATCCTTAGTTGCTACATACATTTTTGGACATATAAATTAATGAAACAGTACACCCATTGATTCTTGAAGAATATAACTTATAAATGCTCATCAGCTTAGCTCAACTGTTGTACCCCATCAGAACCCAAAATATAAGCTTGTTATACTCCAGTGTTTGTAAACAAACAGCCAATAACGCTTGCTTTGTATGTGTGTGTTAGCTAGCTAGCCAGACAGTTTGAGGAATGATTCTATACATTTTTTCAAATTAACTGCTAATATGCCAACATTCCATTCAAACAATGCAGTCAATCCACAGCCATACACTAGTTCAAATCAGTATTTCTATAACACAATTTCTGATGTATAACATGCCTTACATTTTTTCAAATTAACTGCTAATATGCCAACATTCCATTCAAACAATGCAGTCAATCCACAGCCATACACTAGTTCAAATCAGTATTTCTATAACACAATTTCTGATGTATAACATGCCATTCTGGAACTTGGAGGGATTATGACATAGCCTCTCTAGTAATTTAATAGGATTTCTATGGCAACACCTCTCACAAATTATTTTAACATTGTAAAACTGTTGTGACAACAAGAGGCCTTCATTTGGACTGTGCAAAAACGTTGTGTGCTTGGCATGGATGCGAGCCCCTGACTGACTAACTGACTGAAATGACACAGTTTGGGATAAAAACAGCTACAGATTAGAAGCATTGAGCAGAGCCACAGTGTGTGTAATATTACAGAGAGTTCTTGTGTGAGAAAGGTCCTTTTTCCAGCAGTGGAACATCATTTAGGATTTAACTTAAATTTGGTACATCATACAGTACAGAGGATCTTGTGTGATAACTTTGGAATCTTCATCATCTACTGTCACAGAGTACAGAGATAATTAGTGCTGGCTACTTCATACACAGAGAAACATAATGCACATGTGGCTATGATACAGAAAACATGGAGATATTTGCCTTTTAAAGGCTGGCTACTGTTAAAAATATTTAAAAGACAGGAAGTCAGGGCCAGCTCTTCTGAACCAAAGCAGGATTCAAAGGATTCCAACCTAGAGTCCTTAAAAAAAAATACTGTCACGTTAAAATCTGAACAGCCTCTCTTCAAGCTCTCCTTTGCCCCCCCCAACCTGGATCTCTCAGTCTCTCTTAGAAAGAGAGAAGACACAAGGAGAGGAATCGTCTTTAAATGGAAGTCTAAAAAGGTCCTCTCCCCTCCTTTCTGCATGGGGGGGTCACGTATGGAGAAGCTGGATTGTTGGGTCAAACGGAGTGTCATCGATGACATAGCAGGGAACCATCTACATGAAGGACTCTTTCTCAGAGATGTGAGCCGCCGCCTTCTCGTCGGCCGCACCCATGTTCTTCTTCTCCTCGATGAGGGGCAAGTGCTCCGGCATGGCGGGCATGTCATTCTCCATCTTCACCTCGCTTAGCTCCGCCCCCTCCTTGGGCTTGTCAGATCGGTCCACGTACCACTGCAGCAGCCCGGCTCCGAAGGCGTCGCCCTCCACGTTCAGAACGGTGCAGGTACGGTCACTGAAACAATGGTCCAATCACGGTTAAACCAGTCAAACCCAGGGTGATCACCGTATGCATAATTATGTCATGTCAATGCTATGTCAAGTGTATGAAGCAGACAAACGGTCACGGATGCTATGACATTTATATGAGATGGATGAGCTGTTCCAATAGAACAGTAAACATGAGGTACTCACACGAGCCAGTCGACGGCGAGGATGAGGGAGATGTCGTTGGTGGGCAGTCCCACTGCCTCCAGGATGATGGCCAGTGTCAGCACACCCCCCGCAGGGATCCCTGCTGCTCCCACACTGGACGCTGTGGCTGTCACTCTGACAGAGGGGGCGGGACATGCAGAGAATTAGCCACTCAAGAGCACTGCGTTTCCTAATACTCAGCCTAGCAAGTTTGACCCAAGCTTTATACAAGTCTGTTTTGTATGCGTGTATACAGCTAATACATTTGAATTTGCTCCGCTTTACCCAACACAACTGCCCCTTAGAATCAAACTGAATTGAATCAAACAGACTAGAGAGAGCGTGACTCACAGGATGGTGAAGACTTGGATGAAGTTGAGTGGGATGTTGTTGAGCTGAGCGATGAAGACTGCAGCCACACACTGGAAGAGAGCTGCACCGTCCATGTTCACTGTGGCCCCGATGGGCAGGATGAAACGACTGATGTGCTTTGACACGCCATTCTTCTCCTCCACGCACTTCATCATCAGCGGCAGGGTGGCAGAGCTGAGAGAGAGTGAGTGAGCATGAGTGTGTGTGTGAGAGCGCTAGCCGTAAATGAACAAATACCTCATATATGCTCATCAGTTCTGACGTAATTACCAATGTTTCTCTTCTCTGTAACACTTTTGCACTGGGAACATGTTGTTACATAGCACTTGAATGATTGTATTTTAACTGCATAGTAATGGAGATGAGCATTTTTGGTACGGTATAGAGCAACCTTGGTATAAGAGCAATTAAGGATTACCATCCTCTCTAGCATGGTGATCTAGTGACTGCAACAGTACCTGGAGCAGGTTCCAAAGGCTGTGGCCAGAGCAGTGAAGATGCCCCACAGGAAGGTGTAGGGGTTCTTGCGGGTGATGATAAAGTAGATGCCTGGCAGGACCAGCAGGCCGTGGATGGCATGGCCGATGATACAGCAGGCGATGTACTTGCCCAGGCTGGCAAACAACGTTCCCACGTCCTCCATCTCCACGATCTTCCCTGCCACCAAGAACATGATACCAAGGGGGGCATACCTGGAGAGAGAAGGAGGAGGGAGAGGTGGGTTGCCATTAGGAATTTGTAAAGACGCGGTCCAAAGTACAAATACAATTTAAAAAACAAATATGTATCAATATTACCACATATGAAGCAAGTACAAATACAACAACAATTAGTGACTTTGGATCCTTGAAAAATGCTATTTAAATACCATATTATTTTTATAACAATTACGAGATGATATGTGAAAGATAAACGCGGGGTGGCAAAACTCATATACATCATGCGTGTATCCTCTCTCACACCCAGATCTATTCCCTACAGTGCTGCTGGGCAAACGGCTCCCTTACCACATGATCCAGGACACCAGTACCATGGTGGCCTCGTTAAAGGAGTTGAAGAACTTGATGAGAATCTCTCCCTCCTCTCCTAGCTTCCTCAGGGCTACACCAAACACTATGGCAAACACCACCAGCCCTAGGATGTTCATACCGTCCTGGTCTGTGCCAAAGGGAACCTATATGCATACACAACGCAATAACTCAGGTCAGCGTGAGTGATGCATTTTAGACACGTTCAAACTGTCAACAGCAACAGATATTTGACAGTCAAATGTGACATCCTATATAGATTTCGAACTCATTTTGGCATTTAAGTCGATTCACCTTCTCAACTGTGATGTCGGGCAAGCCATTAGTGCCATTCTTGGTCACAAACTTGTAGCTGGTAGCATACTGCAGACAGAGAGGAAAATATTTCATTAGTACACGTATACAAATATAGGCAAAATGTCTTCTGTTTAACTAACAAATTATGTGGATTCCAAAAAAGCCTTAAAGGAACAATACACACAAAATAAAACTACATTTGGTATTTTTTTCGTTAGTCCACTGTTGATACAGTCCCAACACGTTTTGCACGTCAGCAATCAAGTTTTCTAGATATTTGACTTTCAAACAGCAAATTGTAACTTGCCACATCATCATGATGCGTTTTGCATCATGTGGCAAATTACAATTTGCTTTTTGAAAGTCCTGTATCTTGAAAACGTGATTGCTGACATGCAAACAAAATTGGGATTGTATCACCAGTGGACGAATGAAAAAAAAAATGCCATCAAATTGTTTGCGTGGATTATTCCTTTAAGTCTCAGTTTCTCTCTTTCTATTATATGTGTGGTACAAGAGGATACTCACAGACTGAAAGGCAGCAGACACCAAGTTGGAGGGGAAAATGTTTCTGTAAGAGAGAACAAGAGACACATTCAGTACACTACACAGGCACCAGCTGTGCTGACAGTGACGCTATGATGATCAGAAACCATGGCCACAGCTAGAAACCAAAATGGAGTGAAACATTCAGTCACTTCAGCTCTGAGGGACACAGGTGCCAATGCAGGTGTGAAACAGCCATGGTGAGGGCCCTGTATCCTTTAGTGTGCTACAAGGGGTAGAAGTTGCAACAAGACATTCATCTACGGTCAGGTTTGAGTTTCCCCCCCTTAATGGTTAAAGCTAGAATACTTAATTGAAACCATAATTAAGCTTTCTTCGCACCTCTGTTTATCTAAAAAGCTATGGGATGGGGCTGAAGAAATGTAAACACTCAGATTCATACAGAGCTATGGATGCAAGACCTGACCATTCACATAGCTTTAACGCTATTCAGTGTTTGTTTACATTTACGTTGTTTACAAACATTGGAGTAAAATAAGCGTATATTTTGGTACAACAGTTGAACTAAGCTAATGAGGCATTTATAAATTAACTTATATTATTCAAGAATCAATGGGTAAATACATTTTACATTTACATTTTAGTCATTTAGCAGACGCTCTTATCCAGAGCGACTTACAGTTAGTGCATACATTATTTTTTTTCATACCCCCTGTGGGAATCAAACCCACAACCCTGGCGTTGCAAACGCCATGCTCTATCAACTGAGCTACATCCCTGCCGGCCATTCCCTCCCCTACCCTGGACGACGCTGAGCCAATTGCGCGCCGCCCCATGGGTCTCCCGGTCGGTTACGACAGAGCCTGGATTCGAACCAGGATCTCTAGTGGCACAGCTAGCACTGCGATGCAGTGCCTTAGACCACTGCGCCACTCGGGTCTAATATACACTACCAGTGATGTTTGGACACACCAACTCATTCAAGGGTTTTTCTTTATTTTTACTATTTTTTACATTGTAGAATAATAGTGAAGACATCAAAATTATGAAATAACACATATGGAATCATGTAGTAACCAAAAAAAGTGTTAAACAAATCAAAACATATTTTATATTTGAGATTCTTCAAATAGCCACCCTTTGCCTTGATGACAGCTTTGCACACTATTGGCATTCTCTCAACCAGCTTCATGAGGTAGTCACCTAAAATGCATTTCATTTACCAAGTTAATTTGTGGAATTTCTTTCCTTCTTAATGCATTTGAGCCAATCAGTTGTGTTGTGACAAGGTAGGGGTGGTACACAGAAGATAGCCCTATTTGGTAAAAGACTAAGTCCATATTATGGCAAGAACAGTTCAAATAAGCAAAGAGAAATGACAGTCCATCATTACTTTAAGACATGGTCAGTCAATACGGAACATTTCAAGAACTTTGAAAGTTCCTTCAAGTGCAGTCGCAAAAACCATCAAGCGCTATGATGAAACTGGCTCTCATGAACACCGCCACAGGAATGGAAGACCCAGTTACCTCTGCTGCAGAGGATAAGTTCATTAGAGTTACCAGCCTCAGAAATTGCAGCCCAAATAAATGCTTCACAGAGTTGAAGTAACAGACACATCTCAACATCAACTGTTCAGAGAAGACTGTGTGAATCAGGCCTTCATGGTTGAATTGATGCAAATAAACCACTACTAAATGACATCAATAAGAAGAAGAAGAGACTTGTTTGGGCCAAGAAACACGAGCAATGGACATTAGACCGGTGGAAATCCAAATTGGAGATTTTTGGTTCCAACCGCTGTGTCTTTGTGAGACGCGGTGTGGGTGAATGGATGATCTCCGCATGTGTATTTCCCACCGTAAAGCATGGACGAGGAGGTGTTATGGTGTGGGGGTGCTTTGCTGGTGACACTGTCTGTGATTTATTTAGAATTCAAGGCACACTTAACCAGCATTGCTACCACAGCATTCTGCAGCGATACATCATCCCATCTGGTTTGGGCTTAGTGGGACTATAATTTGTTTTTCAACAGGACAATGACCCAACACACCTCCAGGCTGTGTAAGGGCTATTTTACCAAGAAGGAGAGTGATGGAGTGCTGCATCAGATGACCTGGCCTCCACAATCCCCTGACCTCAACCCAATTGAGATGGTTTGGGATGAGTTGGACCACAGAGTGAAGGAAAAGCAGCCAACAAGTGCTAAGCATACGTGGGAACTCCTTCAAGACTGTTGGAAAAGCATTCCAGGTGAAGCTGGTTAAGAGAATGCCAAGAGTGTGTGAAGCTGTCATCAAGGCAAAGGGTGGCTAGTTGAAGAATCTCAAATATAAAATATTGGTTACTACATGATTCCATATGTGTTATTTCATCGTTTTGATGTCTTCACTATTATTCTACAATGTAGAAAATAGTAAAAAAAATTAAGAAAAACCCTTGAATGAGTAGGTGTATCCAAACTTTTGACTGGTGCTGTATATATCATTAATTTATCATTCCAAAAATGGAATTTGGGAAAGGTAAACTGATCCTAGGTCTGATACTAAAGGTAACATCCCACGGGATACAACCACTAACTGAACTCCTTGTTCTAACTTCTAAGCTATCTTTCCAGGATTTCTTTATGCTAACTTGGCGCCTATACCCTTGGGCACCGAGGCCTCACGAGGGAGCCAACCATGAGTTCTGTCCTGTGGAAATATTGGGAAGCATTTCAGTGTTTTAATCCTCCAACTGCCCACAAAACTGCTGCTGCTGGGATTTCAGGCCCAAACCCAGACCTCCCTGAGAGGGGTGGGCAGATTACTGCTCTACAATACAGTACACACACACACACACACACCAGTGGAGTTACTGTATCACCCCTGCCACCACCCCTCAACATAGAGAACTCTCCTCAGAGCACTAGGCCACCCCCACCCCTCACTCTTAGTCAACCTACATACGGATTTAGAGTAATAAGGGATTAACTTCTTTCATGTTTTTATCCTACATCTCTTTCTGACCTGAATACATACGTGACAGGAAACTATGCATTGTGGGATTAAATGGTCACACCATGTGACTGAGGATAGAATGACTTAAGGTAGAAGTTGCCCTTAAACCACATTTCTAGGAAGGTGACCTGTATTAGTCTAACAAACCTTGTCAATTCAAAACCCTCCATTCCCATGGTTGTTGCAGGACTTGGTCAAACAGGGAACGTAAATGCCCTCTCTAGAACCCTCTCTCACTCTGGCTGAGACAGAAGGTTCCACAGAAACAGGAAGCAGTGACGTTAATGTGGGTGTCAGATTTCACCGGACGCTCCGAGCAGTACAACCGTCTGCCTGCCCAAAACTCGCTGGACACTGGCCACATATCCCTGTTTAGATTAAATACCCGGGTGACTCCACCTACCCCCCCTATTTTTACTTCCTGATATGCCGTGTCATGACAACCCAATGCCACCACGCCCATTAAAGCTAAATTAAACCGGCTAGACGCTGGAACATTGGGTGATGGTTGGAATAAACCGACGGAAAAAGAGAACGCAAATTGGACTGCACATGTAGGCCTATTAAACCCACACTGACATGTACAGACACACCCTAAAACAGAACACACAAACATTCTGTGTGGCAGTATCTATGCCAAAGACCCAAGGAAAAGTAGACAAACTACTGTGAATGTGCAACGGCACTCATTTAAATAGTAACCCCTCTCTGTCAGGGTCCAGTTTTGGCATGCAGTCTGTGCGTTCATCCATCCATGCACCTCCATTTGTCATATTACTGTAAAAATGTGCAGTTGACATTTTGCCATCAATGCTGTGAACACGCTTGTGTAATAGCAGGTTGGTACTGTATTTAGATTTTAGATTTACATTCCCATGGTGTTTGAGTAATGAGCGAAGGGGCTGGTAAAACAGCATAAATACACACAACACAGCCTGCCTGATCTTCTGGGTACACGTGAAGTGTGGTGGTGGATGTGTTGTGTTTACACCCTTCAGTAGACTTCTTCAGTGTTGTTGACACCTCACTTTCATGTCCCCACGTCCACCTGAGATCGCCTCTACCTGGTCAAACCGAATCTTCGACTGCTTGTTAAAGGTGGCAACCATAGCAGCAGTACCTTGTATTTATTTGCATACCAGTATGAATACGCTCCCGTCCTGGTCCTCTCTTTAGACCAATGAGAACCCATGGGCTCCTCCTGGCTGTATGTGGCTAACTGATGCAGATAGTAGACATCTTCTCCATTTCGGTCACTCCTGACATACTGCTTAGGTAGGTGAGCCAAATGCCACAGAGACAGAGAGAGACAGAGCTGTAGAGGCATGTCACAGGAGGGGGGCAGGTCAGAGAGGGTGGCTGATGCAACACACCTGATACTTTACCTCCGCCTTTCTTTGTTCCTGCCGACCCATTATTTTGTCCCGAAGCGTTTTAAATTACTTGCCTCCCATTCCAACCGAGTGAATAATAGTACCGCCCATCTCTCTAGCTCTTAATGCCATCTACGTATAACAGCTATGGTCCATTGTCCTGTACGTTTGTCTCTGTGTTTAGTCTCAGGGTCAGACTAATAAGTCAAAAGGGACAGACAATGACTTGCAGGTAGGTCAGTAAGAGCGAAGGGCATCCTTTTAACTGAAGACCAACACTACCAGTCATTTATGTAAATGAGCAAATGGATGAAAGCCAGATGGAGATAAGCAGTGGAGGCTGCTGAAGGGAGGACGGGCTCGTGGTAATGGCTGGAACGGAGCAAATGGCATCAAACACCTGGAAACCATGTGTTTGATGCCATTCCACCGATTCCGCTCCAGCCATTACCACGAACCCGTCCTCTGCAATGAAGGTGCCACCAACCTCTTGTGGAGATAAGATCAGCAAAGTATACAAGGATGTGAAGGGGAGGGAGGGGATATTTGGGAAATGTGATGCCTTGTCCCTCTTCAGTTGGTTTACCTTTATTTAACCTATTGACTGGTTTAAGCCAGTAAGTTATTGAGGTCATTTATAATATAATAATAATATGCCATTTAGCAGACGCTTTTATCCAAAGCGACTTACAGTCATGCGTGCATACATTTTTGTGTATGGGTGGTCCCGGGGATCGAACCCACTACCTTGGCGTTACAAGCGCCGTGCTCTACCAGTTGAGCTACAGAGGACCACACATTTGTAACTATGAGAACCTGCCACAACTTTTGGGGATATTGTGTTAGTATGTATGCGAGAGAACGGAGAGAGAGAGGAGGGAGCGAAAGACAGTGTGTGCGAGCGTGCTCCTTGTTTCCGCTGTAGTGAACCGCTCCTCGGCCGGCCGCTGCTGTTGCCAAAACGGGACCCCGACAGAGAGCGGTCGCTTTAATGAGCCACATGAGTCACGAACCGTCATCCTTTGTGGCCTTTCTGTGTGTCTGTGTGTGTCCTCCCGAGACTGACAACCTTTCTCATTGATTCCCTGCCAAGAGCCACGCGCATCCAAGAAAGACTTATTCGATTTTTTAAAAGATCAAAATAGAGCACAATGCATTATAAACAAGTGGATTCCTTATGCGTTGGATTTGGAAGGAGAGACCACCCTGTTGCAACTTGTAGATCGTATTATGCAAGAGCGAGTTACTAAGTCATAATGACAACTATAGGTGAAGGAATTACAATCCGTTTAATAGAAGGATTAGGAATTAAACCATATTCATTACCCCCACCGGTGTAATCTGGCTTTAACAGTTTGAAGTGTATTTAAGACGTTTTCCTGGAATGGGACCTAGGGGTCTAGACTAGCTGGAGGCTGAGAGGGATTTTGGAAAGTAGCCTATGACTTTCACCATCACAATGAATTTTGAGGTTTAGAGGTCACCCATATTGCTGACCAGGAGGAACAGAGCAACTGACTGACAAAAGAAAAAGAGTGTGTCATTTATAAACGATTTAAAGGTTGAGTATGGGGCGGTGTTTTTGGCTGCTTCCCTTTGCCAGATAGAGAAAAAAGGTCAATCTGCCTTGCTAGCGAATTGATTTACAAGAAGTAAGTTGTTTGTGGAAACGGGCATCAATCTATACTAGGCTACATCACAAGGAGTGTGGAGACTGGCTGCATGGCTTCAATTTAGTGACACTACAGGTGCTTCTCTTTATAAACCCAAAGAAACAGACATAGGCCTAATTTAGGTTGCGTGAAGAATGGGCCTCCAAATGAATGTAAATAACCTGAGCGAGGCTTTTTTTATGGTGAAAAGTCGAGAGAGCACACCATAAACAATAACTTCTCTGTAGATGGAGCATGGTCTAGTCAAGTTTCTAATCCTACTGAAAACACAGGGTCCTTTAGTTTGGTTCAAGCCCTGGAGAATAGTCTAAATGATTGGCAAGATGTTTAGGTTTTAAAACTCCTAACTAGTAGGCCTAATCTTGCCTAATGACCCGATTTAGGACAGAGCGGTGGGCAGGGGGGAGTTTGGTCACATGGTTGCCAGCTCCTTGTGGTAGCATGACTCCCCTCACCTCACCTATGATGCTGGAATTTTGTGACATGTGCACGAAGGACGTTTTGGCAGTGGAGTATTTCCTGTCAACAGTCACTGTCAGGGGTAACTATGTAACGCAACTTGATGCTATGGAACATCAGTGTACTGAGATGGTTTACAACACCCAAGGTCCAGTAAATAGTTTGTTTTATGATATCCGTTATATTGTAGTAAGGGCTCACGGCAGAATGCCACTGACTGTGCCACATTTCTAGTATATTTTGAGTACTGTATGTGCCAACAGGAGGCATTGGTGACCAACTGTTCACCACTTCCTTTCTAAATCCAACCGCATGGTGAGGTTTCATTGAGAGTGTGTATAAATAGGATCAATGTCAGTATGAATGTACAGTATATTAAATTAGTAAGAAGGATGGTTTGTTTCTGAATCAAGGCTCAGTTTGGCATAGCCATGGTCATCCTTTAGATAAATGGAAATACAAGGGGAGCAGCTAGAGACACACACATTCCCCCACTACCTCCTTTTTGTTCATTTAGAAGAGATGATGCTATCCCGGCCAGTCAAAATGACTTTGCTCATTGCATTTTGCTTGAGAGGCTTTTAGGGAATCAAAGCAGTAGAAGTGTACACTGTAATAGAACTAATTTAACCACTTAAAACTAGAATACACAACCATAATAAAGGAATGCTAATCATTTTGCCCACTGATTTGGTTTGCACTTCCATATAACTTTCATTGCCTGGCAATACAGACGTAACATAGGACAATCGGTTGCAATGACTAAATTGACATGTATTTCTTAGTAAATGTGTCACCCCTAGTAAATGGACAAACTTATTCTGATTGTAGGGTGTTTTGTTGGAGCACTGAGGTTGTCACATTTGTTAGGAAAGTGTGCTGCAAGCAATGACCATGCAATCATTTCGTTGGACAATGCTGTCTGAGACTTGTTAAAAGTCTGCCAAAGTGTGGCAAACAAAGAAAGAACGGAATGTTCAAGATATCTTTCCTCATCTGTGCCTAAAAACACGTGGCTGGAACGAAATGTAATGCCCATTTTTGGAAATACAAGAGTCTATCCCAGAAAGAAAGGGGCCAGCCCAAAAGCTACTCAGAACTACGACGAACGTTTCCTACACGTGTATTGGTACTAAGCACATACATGTGTTACATAATATCGCGTATGTAGGCTAAACAGGTTGTAATTTTCTGATGATAGAGGGTTGGCATGACAAGAGGGGACAGCTCAAGACACCACCTGTCGTTGGACACTGAACACACATCGCGTATTAACGGGCTGCATCTTGAGCTGATGCAACTACTCCCCTATGTTACAGCAAGAGGAATTCATTGCTAGCGCTACTGTAGATCCTTAGCACATCAAATCACATTGTATTTGTCACATGCGCCGAATACAACAGGTGTGACCATTAAATGCTTATTTACAAGCCCTTAACCAACAATGCTGTTCAAGAAATATATTTAAGAAAATATTTACTAAATAAAATAAAGTAAAAATAAAAAGTAACAATAAAAGTATATTACAACAACAACCTTCTCAACGGTCTCGCTATCATGGCACTGTGTGTGGACTTGACCTAGGCATGCGACCTTTTTCCTGGGCGCACGGCAAAGGGAACCCCGGCCGGTTGGGTTAACTGTGCCTTTAATTAAATTGGATGGCGCGGATGTCGCCAACAACCCCAGAAAGCAGGGCTGTCAGTACCCCTTTCAAAGTTTCAAGAGACCTTATTTGTATTGACCCAGCAAGATAGCACTGACTGTAAACATTTTCAAGACAATACAAGTGCATTCAGACTGCTTTGCTCGGTTTTCTAATTCATATGTGGGAAGTTATGCCTAATTTGGGGGGAACAACGCAATATCCAAAGGAGCCCCGCTCATATTCAAACAGTGGGCTCATTAGCTTGCTGATGGTCTGCCACGTTTGAGCACTTCTGTCATTGTGACAAATAAGGATGGGGACAAAACAAGGCACGCGCGCTGCCACTTCAGTGAACGACCCACAAATGGCTAGATGCCACATCAGCCTGTCTGCCCATTTTGCTTAGCCTAAGTCACCACCCCTGCCAGACATTTGAATCTCACCTGATCAGGTCCAAGAAGGAGTCCACCACTTCTTTGGCCTGGGGCAGCTCACCGTCACCGGACAAAATCGGCTTGGAGCCGGTGTTTGATCCGGGGGAGATGATGAACGCCATGATCACCCCGATGGCTGACGCAATTAAAGTGGTGACCAAAAAGAAAAGCATCGCCCAGCCGCCCAGCTTGCCCAGTGCTTTGGGGTCGATGCTGGCCGCCCCAGACACCAGACTGCACACGACCAGGGGGATGATGATCATCTTCAGCAGCCGGATGAGCAGCTCGCCAGGGAAGCCCACGTAGAGGATCTGTGTCCTGCTCAGCTCCATGTGGCGCACACCAAGTCCGATGAACACCCCGATGATCACCCCGGCCACGGTGAGAATCACCAGCAAGTTGGCCATGACAAGCCTCTTGATTTTCTCCGCCGTTGTCTCGTTGGAACACTTCTTGTGGCCGAGTCCGTTGGCTACCTGCTCATCGAGATGCGCCTCTCCGTTGGATGCCTTCCCCTCAATGTCAATTTTTTCTGCCATTGTGTACCTTAAAACGTAAACGAAATAGTTATGTGGAGAAAATGTTAGTTTGTTTCCCTATAGGATCTTGTTGGTGTAGCTGTTGGAGATAGTAGTGGGCTTTTATTTTAGCGAAATGACCCCCGTTGTCCGTGAGTTCCTGTGCCTCTCAGCCAGTAATATATAGCCCAAAAGACGCGCTGGTAAGAACGTCCCACAGGGGGCGGGCTCATGGAGGTGGGTGGCCAATCAGAACCAATCAGTCAATTTTATCCAGAAAAATCAACGTTTCCATATCGTGGTGTCCATGTACTGTATTGACAATGACACAATAACGCGAGATCACATTTCCAGCATGGCCGACAACCAGACCTCCCTTGCCCGCCATAGGAAGCAAAAAGGGTAATTAATAAATAATAAGTTAGCATTGCATTTGCAGCACCTTAATTAATAAAAACATTTCAAACGTAAAACGTCAACTCTGAACGAGCTCCGGCAACTCGTGGCCCAGCTGGCTGCTGGCTCACGTGATTAGACAACAACCCCCACAATGCTAGCCAGCGGGCTTGTTGCAGGTAGACACGGGGTGCGTTCATTGCTAGGCTTCGGTTGCAGGTCTACACGGGTGCGTTCCAGATGGACTACATTGTTTTTTTGTTGAGTTTTTTTTTGGGGGGGGGGGGGGTAGATCAGCTTTAATATTGTAGATAGATTGTAACTTCCATCAATGTAAATGTTTGCATCACTTCCAATCCCCCATATGTTTTTTTTCTTCTCGCAAATATATATATACAGTGGGGAGAACAAGTATTTGATACACTGCCGATTTTGCAGGTTTTCCTACTTACAAAGCATGTAGAGGTCTGTAATTTTTATCATAGGTACCCTTCAACTGTGAGAAACGGAATCTAAAACAAAAATCCAGAAAATCACATTGTATGATTTTTAAGTAATTAATTTGCATTTTATTGCATGACATAAGTATTTGATACATCAGAAAAGCAGAACTTAATATTTGGTACAAAAACCTTTGTTTGCAATTACAGAGATCATACGTTTCCTGTAGGTCTTGACCAGGTTTGCACACACTGCAGCAGGGATTTTGGCCCACTCCTCCATACAGACCTTCTCCAGATCCTTCAGGTTTCGGGGCTGTCGCTGGGCCATACGGACTTTCGGCTCCCTCCAAAGATTTTCTATTGGGTTCAGGCCTGGAGACTGGCTAGGCCATTCCAGGACCTTGAGATGCTTCTTACGGAGCCACTCCTTAGTTGCCCTGGCTGTGTGTTTCGGGTCGTTGTCATGCTGGAAGACCCAGCCACGACCCATCTTCAATGCTCTTACTGAGGGAAGGAGGTTGTTGGCCAAGATCTCGCGATACATGGCCCCATCCATCCTCCCCTCAATACAGTGCAGTCATCCTGTCCCCTTTGTAGAAAAGCATCCCCAAAGAATGATGTTTCCACCTCCATGCTTCACGGTTGGGATGGTGTTCTTGGGGTTGTACTCATCCTTCTTCTTCCTCCAAACACGGCGAGTGGAGTTTAGACCAAAAAGCTCTATTTTTGTCTCATCAGACCACATGACCTTCTCCCATTCCTCCTCTGGATCATCTAGATGGTCATTGGCAAACTTCAGACGGGCCTGGACATGCGCTGGCTTGAGCAGGGGGACCTTGCGTGCGCTGCAGGATTTTAATCCATGATGGCGTAGTGTGTTACTAATGGTTTTCTTTGAGACTGTGGTCCCAGCTCTCTTCAGGTCATTGACCAGGTCCTGCCGTGTAGTTCTGGGCTGATCCCTCACCTTCCTCATGATCATTGATGCCCCACGAGGTGAGATCTTGCATGGAGTCCCAGACCAAGGGTGATTGACCGTCATCTTGAACTTCTTCCATTTTCTAATAATTGCGCCAAAAGTTGTTGCCTTCTCACCAAGCTGCTTGCCTATTGTCCTGTAGCCCATCCCAGCCTTGTGCAGGTCTACAATTTTATCCCTGATGTCCTTACACAGCTCTCTGGTCTTGGCCATTGTGGAGAGGTTGGAGTCTGTTTGATTGAGTGTGTGGACAGGTGTCTTTTATACAGGTAACGAGTTCAAACAGGTGCAGTTAATACAGGTAATGAGTGGAGAACAGGAGGGCTTCTTAAAGAAAAACTAACAGGTCTATGAGAGACGGAATTCTTACTGGTTGGTAGGTGATCAAATACTTATGTCATGCAATAAAATGCAAATTAATTACTTAAAAATCATACAATGTGATTTTCTGGATTTTTGTTTTAGATTCCGTCTCTCACAGTTGAAGTGTACCTATGATAAAAACTACAGACCTCTACATGCTTTGTAAGGAGGAAAACCTGCAAAATCGGCAGTGTATCAAATACTTGTTCTCCCCACTGTATACTTTTTCCAACATACCTATACACATACATACATATAAATACATATACATACATATATATATTCTTAAAATATATATATTTCCCATTATTACTTTCTAACCCCACCACCCCTTCCCTAATTGGAGTAGACTAGTGAACAACAACGCTTAGGCCTCTACTTCCAGCTTATGTAGTTGAAGTCGGAAGTTTACATATACCTTAGCCAAATACATTTAAACTCAGTTTTTCACAATTCCTGACATTTAATCCTAGTACAAATTCCCTGCCTTAGGTCAGTTAGGATCACCACTTTATTTTAAGAATGTTAAATGTTAGAATAATAGTAGAGAGAGATTTATTTCAGCTTTTATTTCTTTCATCACATCCCCAGTGGATCAGAAGTTTACATACACTCAATTAGTATTTGGTAGCATTGCCTTTAAATTGTTTAACTTGGGTCAAACGTTTCGGGTAGCCTTCCACAAGCTTCCCACAATAAGTTGGGTGAATTTTGGCCCATTCCTCCAAGCTTTAACTTCCTGACTGATGTCTTGAGATGTTGCTTCAATTACTCCCAAGGATGAACCAGACTTGTGGAGGTCTACAATTGTTTTTCTGAGGTCTTGGCTGATTTCTTTTGATTTTCCCATGATGTCAACCAAAGAGGCACTGAGTTTGAAGGTAGGCCTTGAAATACATCCACAGGTACGCCTCCAATTGACTCAAATTATGTCAATTAGCTTATCAAAAGCTTCTAATGCCATGACATCATTTTCTGGAATTTTCCAAGCTGTTTAAAGGCACAGTCAATTTAGTGTAGGTAAACTTCTGACCCACTGGAATTGTGATACAGTGAATTATAAGTGAAATAATCTGTCTGTAAACAATTGTTGGAAAAATTACTTGTGTCATGCACAAAGTAGATGTCCTAAACGACTTGCCAAAACGATCGTTTGTTAACAAGAAATTTGTGGAGTGGTTGAAAAACTAGTTTTAATGACTCCAACCTAAATGTATGTAAACTTCCAACTTTAATTGTACATACTATATACATTTTATGGACGCAGTCAATTTTACAATAATTCTATTTTGTTTGTTTTTACTCCTGAACTTCCTCTACCCTCAACCTCTCCGATCATTTTCATGATGTCTTCATTGCTTCTTAATTTATTGGTATATTACAACATTTGGATAGTTAACATAACAGAATAGCATAATTAGTTCAGATTATTTGATGATTTATTGGCCCCAACTTTTTGTTTGTTTGTTGTACAAATCCCAAATCACTATTGGAGGGCTTACCACCTCTGTTCCTGTAGAGCTACCATCCTGTAGGTTTTCGCTCCAAACCCAGTAGTAACTTAACGTGATTCAGCTTATCAACCAGTTAGTTAGGTGCGCTAGAAAAGGGTTTGAAGAAAAACCTACACTCCCATTCAAACCCAGAATCCTATACTGGATTTCTCAAGATTTCCAACACGATTCAACGAGGCAAGATTTGGAAGGATGGCCACACGAGGCTAGTGTTGAACATATCAGCTAACCACATATTGGGGGTTGTTTCTGCCTGATTACGTTGAAGACATTGCTTTGCATCAACCAATGGTTGTGCGCCACGTCATCGACTGTCAGGCATTACATTGCTATATCATATGATGTGTTTAGCTGATATGTTAAACACCTATCCAAGCTTTGTGAGATCTGGCAGCCGTCTGCAATGTAGTCAAGCAGGAATGCGACCCAAATGATATAGCGGTATAGCAATCTAATGCCCGACTGCGCAGTCGATGACGTGGCATGCAAATGACGTGCTATGCAACTATTGGTTGATGCAATGCATTATCTGCAATTTGGTCAGGGCCTGGAACATGACCCTCAACTAGCTGAATCAGGTATGTTAGGTTCGGGTTGGACTGAAAACCCACAAGAGGGTAAATCTCCAGGAAGAGGGTTAGGTAGCTCTGTTGTAACCTATGTACAGTGAGGGAAAAAAGTATTTGATCCCCTGCTGATTTTGTACGTTTGCCCACTGACAAAGACATGATCAGTCTATAATTTTAATGGTAGGTTTATTTGAACAGTGAGAGACAGAATAACAACAAAAAAATCCAGAAAAACGCATGTAAAAAATTTTATAAATTGATTTGCATTTTAATGAGGGAAATAAGTATTTGACCCCTCTGCAAAACATGACTTAGTACTTGGTGGCAAAACCCTTGTTGGCAATCACAGAGGTCAGACGTTTCTTGTAGTTGGCCACCAGGTTTGCACACATCTCAGGAGGGATTTTGTCCCACTCCTCTTTGCAGATCTTCTCCAAGTCAGTAAGGTTTCGAGGCTGACGTTTGGCAACTCGAACCTTCAGCTCCCTCCACAGATTTTCTATGGGATTAAGGTCTGGAGACTGGCTAGGCCACTCCAGGACCTTAATGTGCTTCTTCTCGAGTCACTCCTTTGTTGCCTTGGCCATATGTTTTGGGTCATTGTCATGCTGGAATACCCCATCCACGACCCATTTTCAATGCCCTGGCTGAGGGAAGGAGGTTCTCACCCAAGATTTGACGGTACATGGCCCCATCCATCGTCCCTTTGATGTGGTGAAGTTGTCCTGTCCCCTTAGCAGAAAAGCACCCCCAAAGCATAATGTTTCCACCTCCATGTTTGACGGTGGGGATGGTGTTCTTGGGGTCATAGGCATCCTTCCTCCTCCTCCAAACACGGCAAGTTGAGTTGATGCCAAAGAGCTTGATTTTGATCTCATCTGACCACAACACTTTCACCCAGTTCTCCTCTGAAT